ACATAGTAGATGGTTGGGTCAGTAATGCTTATGAAATCAAACCATATCTTTTCTTTAGTATGTAAAATAGAAAATGAAATGTAGGATCTACTTGTGCAAACTCTTTGACCTTGAGACTGTCTTTTGTAATCTTCTCTTCCTGACTTCCCATTTTGCAGAACTGCACTCTTCATCTAGACTGACTTTATGGAGATGTGTATTTGACAGAGTTGAGGAATGGACCTAATGTTGGGTCATGCTCTGGGTTCTGACTCTGTGTGTTCAATCTGGGGAGGTATTGCTTTTTTCTTTTCATAAAAATCAGGTGCAGAGCAAGGTAAATTGTACCTGTGTTTCTGCCCAACAAGGAGTTGTGAATCCTTCAGGAACACAGCCTAGCATTAGGAACGCTAAAGCACTGCTGCAAACAAGTGATAGATAGAGCTGCAGACATGTATTTTATTTCTTCACAACCAGGAGCTGAGAATAGATAAAATTTTAATGTTGTGTACTTAATGTACGCAGTACAGGTTGCATACATAATGCAAGCAAATCTGAAATAATTCTGGGGAAGTGAGATGAAGACAAGGCAAGTTTACTCTTTTTCTGGAGGGTATGTTTTGGTGTAATGTAAGTTCTGCAAAAAGAGGTGCCATATTGATCACAGTAATGATTTGCTCAGAATGAAGTGAGTTTATCTTCTTTATGTTCTAATGTTTCCTGTAAACTAGTATTTCAAAATGAGGAATGAAGAAAGAGTCCAGGAAATCATATATAGTTGCAAGAGAGTTTAGACAATGCAATATTTTATTTGCCCCAAAGCAAAGGAGATCAGACAGAGCACAGCAGGACACACAGTATTTTCTATCTTCTGTCTGCTAGAAAAAGAACATGCTGCCTTGTGTTTGTAGGCTGGTTACTGGAAACTTGAGCCTTTAAAATATGTTTACAGGAAATATTTTCTGAGCTACACCAGGTCTAACAACTTACTTTGAATGAGCATTAGTTTGCAACTCTGCTGTCATGTGGTTCATCCTCAGCTTCTTTTCCACTGCAGAGGTTCTTGCTCCTCAAATTTGCCAGTATTATCAGCAAACAGTCCTTCCCCGTCCTGAGCTTCCTAGAGAGCTTTGATTTTGCATAGTACCTTTTGCAAAGTGTTCTATTTTGCTCTTTTTTTCTGTCCAAGCATTCTGGGGGGAAGTGGGGTGGGGTGGGGTGGTGGAGTCGTTTGTTTGTTTGTTTGCTTTTGATGTAGTGTGGAATTTTTTTTAAAGACATTTAGGTTATACCAACATGTGCCATTTTGCTGACAGACAGAAGGAGGGGAAAAGTGAGGACAGGCAATGGGAGACAGCAGTTTAGATTGGCACAGCTCTTGAGGGAATAGCACATCTGTTGGACTGAACCTGGACAAAATATATCAAGGCTAACCTCCAGTCAAAGTAGCTCTGTTTTTCCCTGATTAATTAATAGACAAAATCACACCTGGTATCATGGGTTGCAGGTACTCTTCAGAGGTGTTGACACCACATTTAATTGTAAAGGAAAAGTGTTAGTTATGCCTTCCTTCCCGTAATGATTTAGCTGCTATCCAGTGAGTCAGAAAGAAAGAAGGGAACATGGAGGAGAAAGTGAGGGATTTCCAGTGGAAGCATGTATAATATACTCTCTGTTATTTTTATGTTTGGTTTTTATTACACTGATGTTTTTCTACAGAAAATAGTGTCATGCACTTCTCTTTCTGCAGTACTTTGGAATAATGGATTGGTAGATTTGAGAACGGATGTTTTCCTTAGTTTATGTGGTAACCCTGGATGCAAGTATAAGTGATTGGAGAGAAAAAAAGCCTCACTGTATAAAATTTCCTTACAGTGAAGGATCTGAATGGCTTTTAAAATCTGGCATCAAGCTCTAAGGTTCGAACTGCCATCATCAGTCGATTGCAAAACAATTTCTGAATGGTTTTAATTAAGCAAAACCATGCTGCAGTCTTTAATAGAATAGGTTTTTTTTTCTGTAATGAAGCTGTCTTAATGCAAAAGGCCAGAGACAGAAGGCAAACATGTAAAGAGGTCCTTTGACCTTTGACCTTAAAAGTCCTTTGATGCAGTGTACAGTAGTACATCACCACACTCTGCTATCGTTTTACTGCTATTACAGGGCAATATAATTTTAAAAAAATTACAATGTGGGGTGAAAAGGGTGGCTTGAATTGGTGCCCAGTTAGAATCGTTCATCTGCAAGTGCCATTGGCATCTCTGGGAATGTGATATCTGGGCATATGCTGCTGGTCTTTAGTTGTTACAGCTAAAACTGCACTTCAACTGTTCTTAATCAGGTACCAAAGTGCAACAGAGCTGGAGTGCAATTAAAAACTATGGTTGTGTCAAAGAGGAGTGTTGCCTCTGAGTTTTTGCCTTCTGATCTTGAAAAATTCTTTTATACTTTCTCACACTCTCCTCTGATAAACAGAGGTTGTTTGCATTCCTCTTTGAAAGAAAAGAAATTGACATAATAACATGTCAATTAAAGTCAGGGATTCTTCTAGTATTGTCCAATCCAAATTCATTATTAGATGTCTATAACTAGACATCTCCTGTAAATAAAGTTGTCTTTTCCTGTTCATCCAATGTAGTGTAAAGTACATATGTGTCTCCCTCTTTTGTGTGTGCGTCACAAAGCCCACAGAGGAGAACTTAAAGATGGCCTCTAGAAATGCAGTTGAAAACCCGAAGTTGCTTTCAGAAGGGGATGCAGAGCAGGAGAGCATCTGCAGGAGGTCAGAACTTGCAGAGAGGTTGGTGATAGAGGCTTTTCCGTGTATCATTGGTAGGTAGGTCTTGCTTTCTCTGCAGAAGTTGAAAGATTTTTTTTAAAATCTCACTGATGGGCTGATTTTAAAACACATCACTAATCTCGGTGTTGCTTTGCAAGATGGGTGTGACTTGCTGAAGATAGTGAACAAGTTACAAATATGACTTGGCAGCAAAGAAGCTTGATGTAGTTACTGGGTCGCATTGTCTCTATTTTACAGATATATGAACTAAGCCAGTAAGTTGAAAAGGATTTGCCTGTCTTCACAGAACTAATCTGTTTTTTGTCACAGTGTTGTAAATATAATTTTTAGATTCCTTTATCATCTCTGCCATTTTAATTTCTTCCTTTAAATAAAATAAATAATAATTGCCAGGTTATCAGGTTTAAGTGATTTTTATTAGATATTAGATGTCCTGAAGGTGGTACAGTATATTATAGGATTTTAGTGTAGTAGGTCCACAGTATCAGCCCTTGATCTTGTGACTGTGGCTGGCAATGACTTGCCTTGGGAACAGCCTTCATGGTATCTAGGAGCTTTCACAGCACTTGCCCTGCTTTTAGAGTGGAAAAAGAAAAAAAATAAGCGTAGTAAATAAATACAATTGAAATTATAAAGGATATTAAATAGGAACTTTGCAACTGAACTTGCCCAGATAAAAATTATTTTAAATATTATATGACTTTTTTTTTCTGATAGCTTGCATGTCACACTTACCCCAAAAAGAGCTCCATATAATGTTAGATACCTCCATCCTCATGGAGGACAAAGAGCCAGGGTTAATTTAATGCTTTGTAGCTTCTCATCTGAACTGATTGTCATAGATGTGAACCTGGAGTTTGTTCTGCCCTCACCTTGGACAATGAAAAGAGAACAAAACCTAAGCTGCTTTGCAGGCCACTTCTGTGAAGAGATACAGTTTTGTAAGAAGTTTTCGATGCTTTGCTGATGAGTCTCTGAAAGCACAGGGCTGAATGCAGTTTCCTGAGTTGTTAGTTTAGTCACAACATTGGCATAACACTCCTATTATATAGAAAACAAGGTTATCCTTGGCTAAACTGTCTTTCTTCGTTGCTATTTTTCAGCTTAGATTTGTTATTTTGTTAACATCCTGTTTGTCTTAATACTTTTTTCACCCCATTGGCGAAAGCCCTGGTCATATGTCTCTGAAGAGCAAATTGTAACTCATCTCAGCTTCCACTTTGCTGAGTTTAAGTCTTTTTGCAGAAGACAGCTCTTCCTTGTCTGCACAAGCCTTTCTCTACGTGTTGCAGGCTGAGCTGGATGGTGTCCTGCTTGTAGCAAGTGTTCCTGACTTAGTTTCATTGCTGCTTCTTGTAGCAACAGGAGCCCGTTGGCTGGTACACCCTAGTGAACTATCTCTCTTTTTGTGGCTGTGTTATCTGACTGGAAGGCCTTCTTTCTTCTTGGTTTTTTTCAACTGATAAGCTCCCAATTGGTAGCAGAAGCTCTTGTTAGTCTGTAGTGTGCTGTTTTATCTTACTACTTTTTAACTTCTTTCTTTTACTTCAGTCCTGGTTCTCCTTTGTTAGTTTTGCTGTTAACTGATGAATTCCACCTTGATTATTGCATCATGCATTTGAACACTGCTCTATGTATGAATCTTTCCTGAGTTTAATGTTTTGAGGAGTGCTTTGCTTATGGCTGCTCTTTCCTGTGAATTAAAGATTTACCTTTCTTAATCTAACTGTATATATTTATATGATTGCCCTATCTGTACATTTTAATAGAGAAGCATCTTCTCCACATAGGAATCTGTTGACTTGCCACAGTTTTATGGTACCATAAAAGTCAAAGATTTCTAACATGCTCTGTTGAAGCAAAATGGTAGATATTTCAGGTTAAAAATTATTCTGGAAAGCATACTACTTGAAATGTTTTGACCTTAAGATAAAGAATTTGATCCACAAAGTTATTTGCTCCCTCCCAGTTATACAGACTTTGTTCTCTGAGTGTAAAGAAAGAGGTAAAGGTGTGAAACTGAATGAACAATATTGTTTCAAATGATAGAGAAGCTGTTATAAAATGTTAACACTCAGCATTTTTCACAGGTTTCTAGTGGTTTTGTTCTTATACTTATTGCTTACTGCCCCTCCTCCCCCAAAATTAAAATCCTGTTCTACTAGCCTGCTTATTTGGATTGATTCAGTCAGAAATAATTTCTCCTTTTTGTGTCTTTCAGACTTCATTAGAAAAAGAACTGGATACACATGCTGAATTTCATTTGTGAAAGCTGGAGTAAGGTAATATAATTTTAGTGATTACTACCGTAATGTGTGATAATCTGTTGACACTGAAGGAAAGGGCTCAAAGATTCATCATAAATTAGGGGCAGAGAAATCTAAAGGAACTTCAGCCTTGGAAATAATGAAGCACTGACAAGATTCAGTGTTCTGGTACCAGCTGCATGCTTTTACCCTATGGTTTGTATTGTGGGTAGTTGATTATATTGGCCAGGGGTTTTCTGTTCTTGTTTGATTGCCCACAGAAGATGAGGAAATTCAATAGCTAGTGACAGTAGGATATATTTGTATTTGGACAAATTATGTGCATCTGGAAGTCTGTGAGGTTTAAAGTACAGCTTATGGTGAAAGGCCAATATTTGTTGCCTGGTTCTACCGTAGGAGCAAACCAGCCTTTCTTTAGTTTTTCTCCTTAAACATCTAGAGATGGAAGAAAGAAGGTCAGCCTGTCAATGAGCATTGCTGTAGCATAGAGTTCTGTCCTTCAGAATGGGAACTGAACCCTGCTGGGCACTTCAAAACATTTGTAAAGTATTTGCTTCTCCACAGTGAAAGAGCTGCTTTATGTCCTGTGGTGTGGCAGGGTGTAGAGGCTGATTGTCACATTCCTGGGTCCTGAGAGAGAAATCTCTGTCCTGGTGCAGCTCCTGTTAACAGAAGTGAGAAGACTCTTGGCCACTCGTTTCCCAGCAAAGTTCAGTCATATGACTCCTCTTGCTTCCTGTATGCAGAGCAGCTGTGTTTTGAGCTGAGCAGCTGCTTCTGATATTCCAGAGAGTAAGAGGAGTTGGGCCACATATGCTGATGAGATGGGGGATGTGGCCTGAACTGCAAGGCAGTATGAAGCAGACTAATAAAATGAGTCTTCTGGTAGAGGCAGGGAGTTTTGCTGGTGTGGGAGTAGGAGGTAGTGGGAGGTGAAACAGGATGCTCTTGGTCAAATGTGATGTTTATGGTTGCATGCAGAAATTGAGAGTGGACTTCAGTGTCTTTGTCCCTGATGTAGTGCCCTCAGTGCCCTTTTACAGAGTTCAGCAAATAATGAATGGTGGAGTGGGGTCAATGGTGAGCAGTATTGCAGTATTGACTTCTCAGGGATGTTATACCCCTGCTCTTGCTAAGGGAGATCAAATTGTAAGATCAAGCAGACAAAGTCAGCAGATGCACTTTCTCCTGCAGCATTGCTTTCCTTGTGTTAAGTGTGTGTCTTAATGCAGACTAAGAATCAATTACTGAAAAGTCTAGAGAGGTGTGCTGCCATGATTGTGCCTACATCTGAAATAAAAGCAAGTGGTTGATACCGTGGGCTCAGTTATTTAATTGGGGCAGAATGGAATAGAGTGCACAACAGAATGCTCTAGAGGCTTATGTATAATTTTTTTTCCTTTCACCATCTTGAACTGCTCAGTGAAGAACAGCTTGGGAATCAGGCATGCATTACAGTTCTTTCTCCATCCCAAGAAGGTCAGGATAAAGTTGCCAACAGCAAATTAGCATTGCCAGACCCTGTAGCTATATTGTGACTTTAAAGGAATTGCAGTAATACTAGTCATTCATACTATCTTTCTTTCTTTTGTTAATCATTGTCCTCATTGGAAAAGAAATGCCTGAGGCAATCCTTCATCTCCATCCAATGCAGCGCTGTTTCTTGCTGAAGAAATTAAAAAAGAATTGTCATTCTACCCAAGACAGCTATGACTTCTCCCCTGTGGGGTCTGTCTCCACACTTGCAAAGAAATCCATAATAATAGAGCTAAAAGCCAGCATTTGGGGCTCCCCTACAGGGACAGCATATCATCCTAATTAAGTGTTTCTCAAATATGGCCCTGGCTGTGTAACTCACTCCATATTTTGTCAGATTACACTACCTGCTTGAAGCTTTGTGTTAAAGTAGGTCCAGAGATAAAATAGGAGAAAAGGAAAAGATAATACCACCACTTCTGTTTGCCTGCTTGCTTGGTATTTTGGTGCATACTTTCTTTCTACTGATGTAGATTTAGTGGCTTCTTTATTAGGAGTCAAACTCTGTGTTGCATATGTAAAGCTCCAAATAATTTTTTTTTATTAAGACTCCTTAATTGTGTATAAGACAGGGGGACATATCTGGAAAATGTGCCCTGCTAAAGTATATGCTGATATAGATGATGAGTGCACAAACAGCATGGGTGACTGACTAAGGAGAGGTGATCATTAATATAAGCACAACAAGCTGCTTTATGATTATTGTTGTTAGCTTTTACTGCAAGTTTACTATCTGCTTTTACAGTTTGGGTTTTTTTTAGCAAAAACCACCAGCATTTGCTAGTTTGTGCTTTTTTCCTTCTTGCCAGTTTGTAAAGTATAAATGCAGAGCAGGCCGTGTGTAACTGCATGGCTGTGTTAATTGTGCAGTGGTTTTGTTTCTTAGAGCAGAATGTTCATCATCCTCCTGTTAATGTTAGATTGACTCATGCCCCATGCCAACGTGGCATGTATAATTGCAGTAACTACATGTGCAGTCATTTCATAATGTGTGGTACTTGGCCTTTCTGTAATATTCTGTTTTCCATTAGAGGGTTTTCTGACTGCTGGCTTTAGTATACAGAGCTAACCATGGCTTTTAGCAATGAAGAGAGAGATGAAGAACTGAGTTTGAATAATATATTACATGAAGGTGTAATGGTGTTGAATAGAGCCTGCATCCAGGGAGAGGGAAAGAAAGGAGAGTAAGAGGACATGATGTCACATAGCTAATGAGAACAGCTGAAGAGGGCACAGGGAGAAGGCAGAGGCAGAATTTCAAATGTTTTAAGTGTCTGGAAACACAGTGGTCTGTGAGCTATTACTGTGGTTCTTTCTTATGCCTTCTGTCTCTTTTTATAAATATTTTGTCTATATTATGTTCTGTGCAAGCACAAAAATGGAGCTTTTTCTGGAATTAAATTCTACTCTTATATCAAGCCCTTTAAAGTCCGTCCAAGCTTGCATTCAATTCAATAACATTAATTTTACTCCTGTGTTTGCATTCTAATTATAAAGCTGTTACAATGTTTAGATTACAAAATGTCCAGTACCTAATTGTTAATAATCTCAGTACTATCCTTGGGAGATACATAGATGAACTACCACAGAATAATAATGAGGGTTTCAGTAATAATTGTTTCACTTAAACATACTGAGAGAATTAACAATCTGAACCATCTAAACCAACCTTCAAAACCAGCTGCCTACCATGCTACTTTGATTCTTGAAAACTCTACATATGGAAAATTTCTACTGCATTAGTATTTCCTTTTTAGTTAGGGAGATAAAATAGAGACTGTGTGGGTCCTCAGGTACAGACTTCCCCATATCAAAAGGTCTGGAGTGCAGTACCAACACTTGCAAGCACTCTATATTGTCTCCATACATATGGATTGCAATAGCTTGAAGCACTGCAATAAAAGACAAAAAATCTGCAGTTTGCTTCAGACTGAGGCATTGCTAGCATGCTACTCTTTGAAGGCTAAATAGCAGAATAGGCTCATAGTTATTTTTTATTTTAGTGCAGGATTTTTCATAACTTTGGGTAGGGCTGGGAAAATTTTCTGAAGTCAGACATCTCAATGAAAGTCCTCTATAGACACTGAGGATCTGCAGCCCTTGGTAAAGTCAGGAGCAATTGTCAGTGATCTGAGTTCTCCCAAAAAGTCAAGTCAGTCTTTAAATCTACACTAGGAGAAAACTTCTCCGCTTGTTTCAGTGGAACGGAAGCTTATGGGTATATATGTCTGCTCATGTGCTACCCCTAAGCTCAGTCTTGCTAAGCTCAGTTCAGCCTTGCTGAACCAGAATGTGTTTGATCATAGAATCACCTGAGTTGGAAGGAACCCACAAGGATCATGAAGTCCAACTCTTGATCCTGCACAGGACTGCCCCAAGAATCCCACCATGTGCCTGAGGGTGTTTGTCCAAATGCTTCTTAAACTCTGTCAGGCTGGTGCTGTGACCACTGCCCTGGGGAGCTGTTCTAGTGCCCAGCCACCCTCTGGGTGAAGAACCTTTTGCTAATATCCAACCTAACCTTACCAACACAGCTTCATGCTATTCCATTGGAATTTTGTCACTGGTCACCAAAAAGAAGAGATTGGTGTCTGCCCTTCCCCTTCTACCCCTCCTATTGGTTGGCCCATAGCTATTAATTTAGCACAATTAGACATTTTTAGACATATTCAAAAGAAATCTTAACTGCTTGCCTATTTTGACTATTGTGTGACATGTGCAGGCAGCTACAAACCTACTTCTAAAGCACCTCACACTTTTGCTGTTTGAAGAATGAATCAATAAGTGAGTGTATTAAAATTCAGGCCAGATTTGTCTGAAGGAGGCAACATATACAAATATTACCTTTTACCAAGATGATTTCTTTCAGCTCAAGGCAGAGAAATGTGAAAGTGGGTCAGAAAAAAGCTTAAAATTGCAGACTAAGGAAATGTTTTGTGCTTTTAAGGATTTCTTTTTGCATTTTTATATCAAGCTGATTGAGATACCAAAACGCTAAAACAAGAGGAAGAGAAAAAACAACAAAAAAAAAATTCTTACAGCATGTTAACAGTTTTCTTGAAATGAATAGTACATTTATTCTTTTAAAAAGCTTTTGAATATTATCAAGAAAATCATCATGCCTTGTAACAGAAACTTTTCCAGATGTTGCATGCTCGAGTGACCCAAGTAATCCAAAAGCCTACATGAACATATTCAACAGTTTGTGAATATAAGAAATTGTACTGAATAATGAGATTTTAAGGTACTGTGCCACTCTTAGAGGCATGTGTAACAGAATCCCACAAACATTTCAGATTTGCACTGGGATTTCCCATAGAATCATTAAGAGTGATAAAGATCCCCAAGATCATTGAGTCCAACACATATCAAGTTATACAAGGGCTTTAGCTATATCCTGTGTTTTTGTGGTCTCAGGAGGTTTCAGGAAGTCTTGGGTATTTTACTCACGATTTTACATTTCTGAGAAGAAGCATCCAGTTTTTACATCTCTCATATTTTAAAATCAATCAGACTTTCTGGCTGTCAGAATGGCTTTTTAAGTTGCTCTACTGGGAGTTTCCAATTTGGGAATTTCTTAAAGGTACCTTTTTTATACATGATTGAAATATAGATCCATTACTAAGATTTTTTTAGAGGATTTTTATTACTCGTACTGTTGGATTTTATATATATGGAAAATATGACCTTGGCAACTTCAAACTTGTTAATTGGACCCTAATAACCTTAGAAATTTTTTTAAGGAATAAATAATTAAAGACATGGGAGTTGAGTGGAGGGAGGATGAAATACAATCTATTTTTCTAAGATAGGTCATGTCAAACTGGCCTAGTATCTTTTTTTAATAAGAAAGTAGGTTTTCTAGAAAAATAAATGGGCTAGATCTGGTCTCTCTGGATTCTACTGAGCCATTTAACATGGTGCTGCATCAAAAATACTGTTCAAGGTGGAGAAAGATTAGGTTAGTGTAAGAACTATAAATGCACCCAAAGAACTGACACAGAGAGACAGAAGGAGGTAGATTTATGTGATGAATTATTCTCTGGGATTTGACTTGTTTAGTTTTCTTGAGGCTTTTTTGTTTGTTCTGTTTTTTTCTGGAGTTGATGTTGTTGGCATGCTGTATTGAAAGCAGGCTGTTAAAACTTGTGGATGGGAGGAGAACGTTAATTTCTAGCACACAGTTTTAGATGGAGTGACTCGACAATTAATTGGACAATTAGATAATACTAAAGGGATAGAATTCAACCCAGCAAAGTGTCAGGCCATACATTGTCATGAATTCTCTTACCCAGTTTAACCTTGGTGTCATAATTAGCAGTATGACAGTCTTATGTAATCAGTAGAAAGAGGCAGATTTTTAATTAGGTACCCAACTCCTGCTTTCTGTCTTGACTGTTAACAGAGCCTGGGCACCTGACTCTGGCATCAGTGCTGAATGCCTGAAACTGGATGGTGCTACAGCCTCAGCTTAGGAGGTAATGCAACAACTTTTCCTATGAAGAGGGAGTTCAGCAATGGAAGATTTTGAAGGAGAAAGGCCTATATGAGGGTAAGTGGGTTCAAGTTTGTTTTTAGTCTGTCAATTTGACACCATCATGAAAATTATGTATGGGGTACAGGCAAGTGTCAAAAAGAGGTATTTCCAGTTGAGGGAGGGCATCTCAGCTGGGTGCACCTGGGCTGGGACCTGATCTAGAATAAGTGTGCAACACTTCTTGCAGTATCTGAGAAGCTTCAGTATGTAATAGAGACATAGAAAACTGAAAGAGGGTAATTTAGATTAGATATGAAGAAGTAATTTTTTTATTATGTGGGTGGTGAGACATTGGAACAGGTTGCCCAAAGAAGCTGTGGCTGCCCCATCCTTGGGAGTATGCAAAGCCTGGTTGGAGGTGGCTCTGAACAGCCTGGTCTAGTGGAAAGTATCCCTGCCCATGGCAGGTTTAGTTGGTCTTTAAGGCCCGTTCCAACCCAAACCATTCTGTGAAAAACTGCAGGGATGATCAAAGTACTTTTTTTACAAGAGGAGACTGAGAGCCGTGTTGGATATGTCAGGAAGACTGATAAAATGGGAAATGTAATTGCCACAGCTCTGCCTCTGGAGTTATGGGGAGCTTTGAAATGTGGCTGGTATCAGCTAGGTGATAGCCAACAAGCAGGACATCTGCAGATCATCAGAGGATTGATGCAGTTCTATATGCAACATTATGGTACTATAAGAAGATTATGATACCAAACCAGAAGTGTCTACTTGTGTGATTTAGAGGTGATGTGAACTGAATATATGGCTTGTCTTACTGGTTGAGTTTGTGTGTTCACCTAGCATGTGGATAAAATATTTAACGAACACAGAATGCATAGTGATAATTGCATAATACATTGCATAGTCAGTAGGAGAATGCTTTATGTACAATTAGGGAGAAGCTTAAAGATTTATAAAGGTCAATGATTGCTTGGATTCTTTGGACTTAGGCTGTTTGGCAGCTTGTGCTCTTTGATAACTCCTACAGAGTGTGATGCTTACTGTCTGCTGTATCGTCCTGCAGTTTCCCTGCATGGCACAGGAAAAGCTGTGTGATAAATCAGGCTTTGAGTGAATTTGCAGGGCTGGACAAAGGCATGTTAAGCTTAGCCTGTGACAAAACTACATTTAGAAGCTGACTGCTGGATAGCAAACTCATGACCACTCAGAGAAAAGCTTGCTCAAAAGTGAAAACTGTGGTTGTAGATCCCTGATGTGCCTGTAGTGACAAGTGATGGGTGCAGCACTTACAGGCAGTGACAGCCCTTGCCCCAGATACAGTTTTAAATTTCAGTGTTTGCCAAACTAAGGAGGTATGTTAGTGAAGAGCTGCCATTTCCCTGGATGCTGGTTTGTCCCAAACTGGGTTTAAAAAGGAGTTGAATCCTTTGAGCAAGGGTGAGTAATGTGCTTTCTGCTCTTTTGGAAATCCTAAATCCTGAGTTGCTCTAATAGGCTTTGTCAGCTATTAAGAGATTGATCAGATTGCTCTTTACCAGAAATCTTCATAAAATAGCAGGAGGAAAATACCACAGCAAGAAGAAATTTTAATGTACTTCTGGCAGCATTATGTTTCATTCTCTAGTTATTTGTTCATTAATAAGGGCTCAGCCTGGGATTCTGAGGTTTTTAAGTGCTGAGAAATATCAGGAGAGAGTAGTATGGCTTCTCTTTTTTTTAATTTCCTTCTGCTTTGTAATTAATTATTGTATAGTGGTACTAAGTTGTTATAGTTCTGTGGTAAAAACAGTTGTATGATGATCTCACAGTCCTTACTTGGAAAGTTGCCACAGTGAAGAAACTCTGTTTATTTCAGAATTGTCAGTAGTTTGGAAGGGGGTTGTTCTGTTGGAAACAGAGTGCTTTCAATGACAGTCCAAGAGGAGGGATGACAAGGAGGGAGGATTGAGAAGTGTGAAAATGTGTCAGGGCTCTTTCAGGTTTATGTTTTATTAGAGTCATGGTCAACTACCATAGATTTAGAATCTGCCCCAGTTTATATATAGCTTTTTTTTTCCTCCTGTATTCTAGGTTTTATTTAGCTCCAAGTCATGTTTTTCTGGGAGTTTATTTTGATAATCTGTCTAAGTCTCTTCCTGAGAGACAAAACTTGGAGCATCTCAGGCCTGCATATCTGTAACTTAAAGAGATGCCCAGAAAAACTGGAAGAACATCACTTGAAGATGTTTCTGGAAAAGAAAATATTATCAGGTCTGAGGGAACTCACCTCTAAATTTCAGGAAAAAGATATCTCACAGTCATATTGGGGAAGAAGAAGAAACAGAAGAATTTGCAGCAAACCCAGGTTCTTTGTGTGTGGGAATGGAGGATGAGGGTGATGGTGGTGGATCAAATAAGCACAATCTACTGTTGTAGATCGTTAGTAAACAAGAGATGCTGGAATGCAAATTTAATCTTGTTCCATAGTCTCTTAAGATAGCTGTTTGAAAGTTAGAAAAAATAACCTTTTGAAGAATCCTATCCTTCCCTACTCAGTTCTATCTAGTTGCCTATTTTGCTTGACTTCAGTACAGTTCAGTGAAGTGAATCCCATCCAAAGACTGTACCTCTTGCTTAACCCTTTCATAGCATGGTGTTTAATCAAGGTAAACACTGTCCTTATGCTTTGTTCACAGAGATTCATAAACAGTAATAAAAACCTAAATATTTTTCTACAACAAAACTATGTGAACTAGTGAACACTAGCTGTGTGCAGTACAAGAGAGAAGATTGTTCCAACTTATTTGCATATTCTGTCATGTTATTTTTAATAGTATGTTTGCTGTTAGGATAGAGTATATGCTATAAAAACTAAAATTTTGCCAAGGTATTTTGGGGGTTAGGAGTCAGGCATGATAAAGATAATTTATTCTTGAGATGTGTTTATGTTGATTTTGTTTTGAAACAAGAATATATACCTTGTGGAATATTTATGTTCAAGATTGTTCTGTAATTTCCGTATTAAAAAAACTTTATTAAAAACACTTAATGCAGTTCCTGCTAAATTTTAACCCCAGAAGTGTCTAGAATGAGAAGATAAGGTAATCTGAAAGATACTTGTAGGAACATACTGTCTTTGAAAACATTTTAATAATAAGCTGTCTGAAATTATACTTTTGCCTTTTCTCCATTTTAACATGGGCAAAGAAGGAGAAAGAGTTTTAAAAGCACTGCTTAGCTATTAACACTGAGCTATTTTTACTGGGACTTTTGAACATTGATCTGATGTTTCTAAGTAGAGGCATTTTCACTTTGGTTGTGCATATTCACTTTAGAGATTTTCCTTCAGTCAAATGTGCTGTGATCTGAGACAAAGTGGTTTATGGAGCTGTCCCAGGCAGCTGCCAAATACTGTCAAAAATTCAAAGTGGAGATTTAGAGAAAAACAGTGTGGAGGAAACTCCAGTTAGGTACATATATAGGTTTGGCATAGTGTCCTGGAAGCATCTTGGGATAGTGGAATGATGGGCCAATGCCAAAAGTCTGAGTTTCAACAAGGTGACGTGCCAGGTCTTGCACTTATGTCACAACAACCCCAGGCAGTGCTGCAGGCTGGGGACATGATGGCTGGAAAGCTGCCCGGTGGAAAGGGACCTGGGGGTGCTGGTGACAGCAGCTGAACATGAGCCAGCAGTGCCCAGGTGGCCAAGAAGGCCAATGGCAGCCTGGCCTGTATCAGCAATAGTGTGGCCAGCAGGAACCAGGGCAGGGATTGTCCCCCTGTACTCAGCACTGGTGAGGCCGCACCTCAAATCCTGTGTGCAGTTCTGGGCCCCCCAATTCAGGAGGAACATTGAGGGGCTGGAACACATCCAGAGGAGGGCAGTGGGGCAGGTGAAGGGTGTGGAGCCCAGCTCCTGTGAGGAGCAGCTGGTGGAGCTGGGGCTGTTTAGCCTGAAGAAAAGGAGGCTCAGGGGAGACCTTGGCACTCTCTACAACCACCTGAAAAGAGATTGTGGCCAGGTGGGGATTGGTTTCTCCTCCCAAATAATAAGTAACAGGACAAGAGGAAACAGCCTCAAGTTGTGCCAAGGGAGGATTAGATTGGATATTAGGAGAAATTTCTTAACTGGAAGGGTTGTCGAGCACTCTAACAAACAGCCCAGAGAAGTGGTTGAGTCACCATCCCTGGAGGTATTTAAAAGACTTGGAGATGTGGCACATGGGAGGCATGGTTTAGTGGTGGACATGGACTGCTGTGTTAGAGGTTGGACTGGATCTTAGTAGTCTTTTCCAACCTATTGTAATGATTCTGTGATTTTTCAGAAATTTGTAGATCTCCACCTTTTTTCTTGTTATTCAGCTGGCACTCTTAAAGTTTGTTTATCCCATCCTACAAGTTGACCCAGAGTCTATCTAATAAATATGGCAGGTCCCTTAGTCTTCTTAGTACTAGATGAACAAGACTTGACTTTTTAAACTGAATCCATAAGGCACCAACTGTGATTTTTATGGGAGGCAAAGCAGCAAGTGTGAGTTAGCTTTGATCTTCCTTTTTAAAAGGCTTTCATTTTGGTTTGAAGTACGGAGTAAGGACTTTGTCTTCAGTATAGAGAGAAGGGAAGCTTTCTCCCTAGCTAAACTGACACAGAAACTTAAGGAAAACACTCCTTTAAAATATTTTTCTACTGCTTTATTTCTTAAATAACTGTGAGTCTCCATGTATTATGGTTTTTTTTTAATGCATGAGCCCAGATTAATACAGGAACTCTATAATTCTACTATGAAGGAGATGTAATAACCTTTAAGAAAGGAAAAAAAGTTAACAACTTCCTTACAGAAATGAAGTAACAGCTTTAGGAAAGAAGATGTAAAAACCAAGTTGAAATATGTCAAATTAATCATTGAAATGTCATGGTAGTAATCTGTTGGTAGTGGAAATACAGAAAAGATGATAAACAATCAGACTGCTGTCTGTTTCGTGCAATGCTATATTTTGCAGCAAAATCCACCATCCACTGTTATTGGGAAAAAAGTCTTACTTTCTAATTGTTTATATAAATGTATAAATAGTTTCATTTGCTGCT